AACCCTAAACCCTAACCCGTTTCAGGCTCTGGGGCTTTTGGTGTAGGGCGTAGGCCCTAGGGTTGACGGTGGCCGAATTTAAATAGTAACACCATTCCTGAGGGCTCCTTATCTAAAATGAAATACATAAGTTACATAAGTAAGTATATATATATATAGACACATAGCATTATGCAACTATTTGAGGCCCTTGTATTGACACAGGGGTCTCCATACACCAAAATCGTGTCCGGATTTTCTTGTGGCATCCCAGCTCACCCCGATTGGTATGAAGTATCCACCAGCCTAAAACCCTAAACCCTAGAACCCTAAACCCTACACCTAGAACCGTAAGCCCTGTAGGTTTAGGGTTGAGGATGTAGGGCTTCCGGGAAGGGGGGTTTTGAAGGCTGACAGCGGTTTGGGACTTCGGGTGTAATTTTCCAGACTTCAGCATCTTGGCTGGAGCTTAGAGTTTAGGGTTTAGGAGTTTCGGGTTTAGGGGTTAGGAGCTTCGGGCTTATACTTTAGGGTTCAGGGTTCCGGGATTAAAGGGGGGAAGCTTTCGGGTTCAGGGGTCTACGGGGTAAGCAGAGTGCGGCGCAAGGGGAGCCTGCATTGGGCAGCCGTTGAACTCTGAGTTCCCAAACCTTGCGAGATGAGATGCCGCAGATGAACTCAGACCCCGTGAAAGTCATAGATCGTCAGAAACCCTGAAACCCTAAAATCCGAAGCCCTAAATCCTAAAATCCCAAAAAAAACCCCAGAACGCCAAAAATCCTAAACCCTAAACCCCTAAACCCTAAAATCCCCGAGCCCTTAGCTTGGCTTCTTTGCCTCCCTTGATTGTGGCCTTTCCAGGATGCTTCCAGCGCATTCTTACCCTGGTCTCAAGAATCTCGGCGTGCGCTTATTATTACCCGTAGGCTCCATAGCAGTTCCTTTTGGGGGGATATCTTATAGGATCCTAAATACAAACCACAAAAAGGAAGTACTATGGGGCCTATGAGTAAGGTTAGTGTTGATGATAAAAAATCCTGCATTACCTTAAGGACCCTAAGCTATGGGAATTCTGGTATATTCCTTATTATGGGTACTGCAGGGTTTACATCATCAACCGTATTAAGGCATGAATACAGAACATGTTTAGGGTTCGTGATTCGTATTGAAATATTGGGATTAGAGCATAGTATACCCCAAACGATATTCTTGTAGTTAAGGCACTGGGAGGCGTTTAGCTAACATTTCCGGGTTTAGACTGGATTAGACGAGCTATTCACCAACATTGTGACGGACGGGGTTTAGGGTTTAATTGGCAACTATGACTACCATACTTGTGATTATGGTTATATTATATGTTTGGGGTTTAAGTAACCGTTTGCCACCATTAGTCGGACTGCTACGATTCCCAACTTGCTCATTGTGAGTTTGGATGATGTACAGCAGGGTCAAAAGAACACAAAGGCCAGCGACATCGATCGGTTTAAGGACTGTGACTTTAAGCATCTGGTTTTGTTCACTTTTCGGCATGGTCCGACCGGTGCGTATCCACGGGCCGTCGCGCGCGAACCGGCTACTGTATGACCGTCGCACAAATATCACAAGGATGCACATAGTGTCACAGGGTTCGCTGAGCAGCATGGACATCTCCAAGGGCTCTGAGTCAAACCTTCAATTTCCGAATCCAGTAATTAATGATGTAGAAACAACAGTCAACCTCATGTACCCATACATCTACAGTCATCTACGGTATGATTGAAAAACATCACAAGCTCAGTGGCTGCGGTTTGGCGTTTCAGCCGTTTTCCCAATTCAAGAATACGTGGAGGGGGGTTGCCGGGTGGAGTGGGTGGGACGTCGCATCGTCGTTGGCTCGCTTTGGGTCATGCAGCCGGTTTGATTACATTGCGCACTTTAGATTTTTGGTAACACAGCTGAAGAATCAGGATAGTTATGCGAAGATGAAATGTCATGACCCCAGGTTCTTCATCGTGGTGCCAACACTGATGAGATTTTCTGCAGCAGCCGTACCAACTTCGGAAGTAGAAGCCGCGGCAGCAACACATAATTGCGAGTAGTCGCAATGGTGCTCGAGGCATACGCGCACTCGCAGTAGTACGAGTACAGATAGCAGTGCTGTTAGCAGTCGTCATCGTCGGCATGCAGTCGTCGCAGTCATCGCTGCGTCGTGGAAGTCGATCATGTCGTCGCTGTCCTCTTCGTCGTCGCCATCGTCGTCGTAGCCGCCGTAGGAGCCGTAGTCGCGGCTGAGGCAATGGCAATCGTAGTATCCAGCTGTGGCGATAGCAGTAGCAAAGCAAGTATTATAGCTTCAGGGAAGATCACACCGAGCAAGGCCCCAGCATTGGGCGTCGTAGTATAGCGCAGCCCAGGAAGTACGAGGAGCTTCGAGGCCATTTCGGCACTCACTGGGGCAATCAACAGAAGGACTGGCCTTTGTTTGCAAGGTTTTCCTTTTCCCCCTTCATTTAGATACCCGGCATTTAGTTAAACAATACTTCACTTCACTCGATCAATGGCCCCTGCGTCGCGACATGAAAAGAAGGTGCTATTTATGTAAAAACAATCGGTGCTTGCTTCTGAGCATAGAAAACCGCGACGAACGTAAGCAGGAGAAACAGGCCCCCGATGATGCCGATGATGCTGGTCCGTTCTCACGGTTTTTGACACCCCAAAAAAGTTTTTCACCACAAGCATTCCATGTGGAATCTGCGGAGCACTGCAAGGCCCGCGTCTCCTGTATACGCATGCCCGAGGCTGATCCTATTGACCGGTGGAGGAAATCTCCCACCGCTCATGTCGCCAAACAAATGCGAGGACCTTAAACCCTGAACCCCTAAACCCCTAAACCCTAAACCCTTGTCGGCGGAAACACTCGGTTCGAATGCTGCAAATCTGCACCAGCCCGCATCTCCGTCAACTTGAAGTTCAAGATTGGCCAGCCATACTGGAAGTTCTAGCTGCGTGCCATGGAGCTTCGAGACTTCATGCTGGGTTTGTACATGACACCGGGGTAGTAATACAGAAGCCGAAATAATTACCAGTACTATTCTTGTTAGGGTTCCTTATTATGAAATATACGTTAAAGGAGCCCAAAACCACATTCTAATCATGAAGGCCCCTACATTACCCCCGGCTTTCTATCCGGAGCGACGGGTTGCCTGGTTGCCGCTTCTGTTTTCTTTCTTGAGCCATCGCTGCCGGCGACGTGCAGGAAGAACTCGGCTGGACCAGAACCCACACAGAAACAACATTCCGAGGCTTTACTATCAGAACGAGGGGGTCATACTATTCCGCACTCTAAAGGCGAGTGGGCGCCTCCATATTGTTTTGATACTGCTCGCATGAGCGTGTGCGTGCCCCCCCCCCCCCCCCCCATCGAAGGGCCTGCGGGCAACAGGCCTTTGGAGGGCCAGGCTGCTTTTTCTCACTACAGCTAGCTTGCACTTGCACCAACAAGCTCCTAAGAACTCTGATTGCAAGCTCTGGCTTCAACTATCTGCGCCCTTGCAGAAGCCAGAACACTGCGGCAGAAGTGACGAGGGTGGTTGTCCATCAACGTCAGTCGCAAGCTGCCCGATTATCATGATGATCTTCATCATCACCATCGTCATCATCATGGTGATACTGATAACGTTGATGACGATGATGATAATGATGACGATGATGATAATGATGATGATGATGCTGTTGATGATGATGATGATGATGATGATGAGGGTGATGATGATGATGGTGATGATGATGATGGTGATGGTGGTGGTGATGATGGTGATGATGATGACGGCTGTGGTAATGATGACGAGGATGGTTGCTGTGTCTATGGCCTCCTGTTGTGAGCGTGCTGCCGGACATAGTTTCGACGGTGCCTTTACGGATTGTAGTCGATAGTCTTACCATAAGGTATTCGGTCGGCTTTGATCCGAAGCGCTATATAGCTGATTTTCTCAGTGTCCTCGTTTGCGCATCAACTGCTCACGCGTGCTGTGCATTTCCAACGATGCATTTGTTGCATGATCGACAGTGTTGGCTTTTCGTGAACTGTACACCGCCTAACTTCGTCGAGGCCAATTGTGTCATGCGCCTTGAAGCCCTGAAGGAGTTTCGCCACTTCCCTGGCTCTATCCTGATGACCTCGAACTGCCTCATGCCTCCCATGGGCACCTTCGCACAAAGGGAGAAGTGGAGAAACGGGCATAAGGCAGTTCAAGCCCAACGAAACTTTTGAGGGTTTACGGTTTCGGGATGAGGATTTAGGAGTCGAACTGTTCACCGTGGATGGAGCAGGCGGATCAATTACTTTGCTTGGCCCATTGCCGGCGGAGGGTGCATTGTCCATCAAATAGCAGGGATGCCCTTTCGTTTGATTGTTTCTTAATAGTTGGTCTACTGTCCGTCTATCGATCGAAGAATCTATCGATGTGGTTGCCGCCAAGGCCCATGAAAACAGAGTAGAGAGTTGACACGAAGCCTGGGTCTTGACCACAGCAGACAACTGTACAAACCCTGAAACCTAAATCTCAACATCCTACCGCCCTAAACCTTTAACTTCAGGGTGGTTGGAGTTACCCCCAACACCCTGAAGCCCAAAGACCTGCGACCTCGAGCCCACAATGTCGAGGCCTTAATAAATAATTACCTATACTATTTTGGGGGGTTCCTTATTATAATTAGAGTATAGTGGGCCCCAAAACCTTATTCTAAGTAGAAAGGCCCCTAGATTACCCCGACCCCAAGCATCAGGCAAGTACAGGGATCGAATTTGGACAACGGGACCCGTGGGCTTCGATGCAGTGCCGAACGTGGTCAGCGAAGACTTTACGGCAACTCCGGCCAATTAGCTGTGGGATCGCTAAGGCCGCGAAGGCTTAACCGCCGTACCTTGAAGAGGTAGATCTTCGGTGGTCATGGTGGTTTTAGGCATAAGAATGTATAAGGTTTCGGGCTTAGGATCATTATTGCCTAGAACTCAGGCTGAGGGGATTCCGCTCTTTCGTGCCCTTCGAGCTTTGACGTTAAGTCGCTGCGGGGGTTGATTAGGGTTTAGGGTTTCGGGGTTAGGGTTTAGGGCTTAAGTTTAGGGTTTTGGTTTAGTATTTAGGGTTTAGGGTTAAGGTTTACTTTGGCTTGTTGGAGATCTTTGTGCGACTGAGATAGTGTAGGGGTCTGCATGGGTTGAAACTCTATTCGCTTGTTGTCCCTGTTAGTAGTTTTGGTAGAATATGCCCGATACCCTGGCTTACTTGAACTATGATCTCTCGGTTTTTGCTGGTCGTTGTGGCCTGGCGTGGCGTGAAATCGTTCGAGTTGGCAGAGTCGGGATGATTCGAGCATGCAAGCAGTGGCCGCTAGATGCAGACACGTTTTGGGTTTGGACCCCAAGCCCTGAACCCTGAACCCTGAACCCTAAACCCTGAACCCTAAACCCTAAACCCTGAACCCTGAACCCTAAACCGTGGATGTAAATGTGTAAGATTCACACCATCTCTCGAAATTCGCCAGGCGATCATTGACCAAGCTCTGAAGCAATCCGTCGAGATCAAGGTGCCTCGGATTCCTCCACAGAATATTCTGGAGCTGCTGTTCGGGTCTCAGTTAGGTTTAGGGTTTAGGGGTTTACAAGCAGGTTCTACTTGGAGGCCCAGGGGACTTAGTAATTAGGTTATAAGTAGAGTTATAAGTTATAAGTACCCTAAACGGAGTTACCCCAATTATAACCCTACTCATAACCCTCTTTACTAAGTCCCC